CATAATAACCGGAAGTGGAGTCCACAATGCAGTAAGGCACCGGAAGTACTTGTGTTAGCTGTAGCTAGCAGTAGCGCGGTCAGTAAAGATCGAAGATATTTACAAAGAAACCTTCCATTTTAAAAGAACTGTAAGCAGAACTGTACATTCATACTACATTCAATGTTGCTGATAGGCTCTACCACATAAAACAATAGTTGCAGAGATGCACGCTTTACAGGCAAGTGTTTCATAATGGGCTACGTAGCGATCCCCCCCTCCCCCCCACTTTTTTTTATCTTCAACGACAGAACCAATACGGAAACTTCAAAACACTGTGATCATGATGCTCCGGTACAATCAGCGCTGCGTGCGATAGGTGAAAAGAGCTCACTTCCAGAGGTGCGGGAGCGACGCGAAATCCAAACGGCCTCAGCCGCTTTGTCGATGCAGGTCGGATATCTGCGAACGGGAAGAACGTGCAGGCACAACTCTACCACGTTGATTGAAATCGCCTATTAGTTGTTTAATTATTATTGTTATTGCCTTGTTCGCTTCCAGACGGAACTGAGCAGTGCTTTACTTTTAGGCTGCGCAAAAGACTTTATCTTTATTTGCCTAAGGTAACACTTCCACCTCTGCTTTTCTTTCTCACGTTTCTCTTATCGGCTCTTGTCCCGTCGGCTGTGAAGGATAGCAAAACAGATATTTATCATCTACCCAACTCCTTGCCTTTCATTTAACCTCATCCCTACCTCTCTATTTCTATATGACTGCAGAACAAGTCAAAACAACGCAGTACAACACAACACTGAACTGGCGCGACAGCAGTTCAAGGGACAATTGTTGTCCCTTCTCTGCCCCTTTTGTGGAGCTTCAGTACCATCAAAAGTTCAGTGACAATTATTGCAACTGTTTACAGTCGGGATAATGCTTCAGCAGCGGCCAATAACGGCGGCAAGAGAAAAGAACAGCCATGGAAAGGAGAGGGTGTTCGAATTTCAGAGTCCCGGAACTGCACATTACGCTATGTTGGATACAGCAGCATAGACCTCGTATACACCTTTGAACACTATAATTTATTTCAAGTGCGTATACGAAGCATAGCAGTGTTTACCTTCTCAGCCATTTCCTTTTCTCCTTTAGAACCTTGCTCCAAAAAAACTCAACTGTACCGCGTGGAAATCTAACGGGAATCATGGATCGTGCTCAGCAGTCCAACGCGACAATTGCTGAGCGGCAGGACACGGCAACTGCAAATCAAGGATCGGAAGACGTGTAAAGAAAATAATAAAATGCGACATAAAAAAAGGGGTGAGAAACAGCTTACAGTTCTGAAGTTACTAAAACGCTTTGTGAACAGCATTGTGCATCTCGCCCGAAGTCAGAGAAGCAACCGAGCAGCAAACTCGAAAATGCATCTCCGCGGAATCTATCCCCGTTGCTCGTCACCGCTATGCATACAAGCCCGCATAGGCACATCGAAGAAAGACAACCGGCAGCGCACAACAACAGGCGATCTCCAAGCGACCTGCAGGCGACCAAATAAGCCGAGTTCTTTCTGCTTCTCTGTTTATTTTCTATAGACTGCACGTGGGCGAAGAAAAAGCGGTCCTTGCGCTCCCAACATCTCGGAGCTCACGCGTGCACCCACACACACAAAGGCATAAGTGCGCTGTTGCCACTGTTCGCCACAAAGCGCAGCTCTTTCGCCGTGCAGCGCTCGGGTTCGCCTTCGCGAGGACAATGACGACTGCGCCCATTGTGTCCCCGACAGTGCCTTTCGGTTCTATTGTCGTGAGCGAGATTCTATTCTCATTCAGTGTCCCCAAAGCTATAGGCATGCTATATATTTGTTTACCTCACGTTTACGTCTCCCTTGTTCCCACTGCAGGAGCTATTTCATCACTCTACCGTCGTTACGGCCACCACTATTCTTTTACTTCTGTATATGTACACTCTTTCCCAGTCGTATTCCATACAATCGGATTAGGTTTCCCATAAACGCACCAATTTCTTACGACGTGTTGACGAGCGCATACTGCATAGTTCATCGGGGAGGCGTAGGCCGTGCCACCTACTCAGGTGAGTGCTCGATGCGCCAACCGAAAACTTGGGATGAATGGGAAAGAACGTGTACTCACTAACAAACGCACCATCTTAGGCGCTTATCACAGATAAATGAGTAAAAGATAGAAGATAAACAAAAAGAACGCTTGAAGAACACTACTTGCAATGAATGCCTAAGAACGTAACTAGACGAAACAGATGGGTCCCATTCACCTCACCTGGGCTATGTAAGATTGTCTTTATGCGAGCATAGCTGTTGCCGACAGCATTTCCCATATTTCCACCAATTGTCCTGGGAAAAAAGCGTAGTGCAGGTGGCTGTGTCTCATATGAGAACACTCCTGAAATTTAGGTATGCCACCGAAACCTCGATATTATGAACACGGTTTAACGAATCAAACAAATACAGTAATAATCAAGTAAATTAAAAATTGCCTAGTCAAAGATACACTGTTATGAACATGTTTCACAACAAATTTTCGGATACAACGAAGTTACCTCCACGTCAGATGCGACCTTCTTGTTGTAGTTCCAGCCTTGAAAAAGACAAGGCCAGCTGTCGAAATGTTAGCGCCGGTGTGATACCATGTCCCATGATTTTTTCATTCCTCCAGACTTCCATCATCCCAGAACGTTTACCCATTTGCTGTTATGTGTTGAGGTATGAGTGTAGTACTACATACGAATACGGTAGAGAGACCAGGGCATCAAGAAAATGATACTAGTAGATGCATTTCATTTTTATAATGCTTTTCTAACAATATGTGGCGTGAACGACCATAGTGTTTCTCATGAGTTTGTGAAGAAATGAAATGATCAGTTGCATCAGTGATTCCATCTATGATTTTAGACTAGGGAAAAAATGCATACAATTAACTATCACAGTTAAAACAAGCATGTGACACAACTTAATTAAGACTGCAATTACAATCATGCGTAACCAAGTAAGCCTCATAATTTCCGAGTAACACGATGGTTCTAGCTGCATTACGAGGATCAGATTCTGGCTCAGAATCCAACTCAAAAAGGCAAGCTTGTGAGAGCAGGAAGACAGGGTTATTAGGATAAACCTAAGGTGTGTGTTCCATGCTGAGCAGTGCCATCTACATTTCAATGAGGATGAAATGCAGAAACAACCCTTCGATCATATCTAGGTTTTTCTTGAGCAAGCCCAGTTGGTCAAAATTTTTCTCAGTTCCCACAAAACAGTGCATATCACATTGCAGTTTTGGAATATATATGCCATGGTACATTCATTACATAATTATTTAAACAAAAAATTCATAAAATTTTGTTAATAAACACACTTGAACTCACTTTATCTGTGCCCACGCAGACATGATACATTATCAGCAGCCCCTTTCATCTAATGTTATTCTAATTATGTTATCTTGCTGATGTTCTAGACATATAAATCCAGACAAAATCTACGTAGCATTTCGTATTCACACCATGTCATGACATCACAAAACTGTCCATCAGATCATTTCCTCCATTATTAGGAGTGTGCGAACATTAAAAAAGCTTGAATAAAGCATCAAACAGTGGTTTATTCGACTCAGTACTCAAATTAAATAGCACACATTAGAAATACCAAATATTTTCTCAATCAGCAATGATGGCAAATGCTTGAGAGAATGAGACATTGGAACAACAAAGGTGTCTTTTATTTTCATCATCGAATTACCCAGATGCATGCAGCCCATGTCTTTAAAGAACTGTGTAAACCGCCTAAACCACAGGACGAAGACGTTTTTGCTTGAACCTCCAGTGTCGCCAAAGCTACAGTGTCATCAATCCACCATGTTGACCAGGTGATTCATGATAATATTAATTCATGCAAATTGCTTACTATTTATAAACCAGTTTCATTTAAACGCTGTCAACAAAGTACCGGTTGAATACTCTTGTCACTGCTGTATTTCAGCCAGCAGTTACAAAATTTCAAGGGCTCCAGTTGCTGCGGTAACCTTGCCTCAGTTTAAATAATTGTGGTGTATTTTGTCGTTTAGAAGTATTTGTAATGTTCCCTTGTCAAACCTTGAATTTTTTATAATACATTGTTGTAGAATTATTGGGCTATTTCAAAAATTTTTGCATTAGCAATCTACAGCTGCTTTGAATATGGTTTCCTTACTATTTGAAAACTATTCAGACAGTATTCTATTTGCATTTGCATTCAATCAGTGTCATCACCATTCAGTTTATATTCGATTTGGTTCCAGAATTCACTACACTCAAATCTCAATATAACGAGCCTGGATGTTACGAAAGAGCGGTTAAAACGAAGCATATGAAAACTAGACTTGCAATTGACATAGTGTTAGGAATATACCTTTATAACAAATTTACGGATAAACGAAGTTTTTATGCAAGATGCAACTTTGTTATGCGGTTTGAGTGTAATTGCACATGGCTAATCATTATATCATGCCTTAAATCATAATGTCAGCCCATATTTATGACGCTGGAGTTGAGAATGAGGTAGACCTTCTCGTAGCTATTCAAGTGGAGTGGCTATTATGGCATAAAAACGACTGTTTGCACACATCGTACATGAATCCCTTTGTCAAGGTAGCCACAGTGCAGTTGGCTATCAGGTGTGCAATAGGTTTGCTGACGTGAAAGTGCACCGGGAAATTATTCTACAATAAACATTAAAAAAAGAAGTGAAGTTCCGGCATGAGAAAATATAAATTTACCGAATACGAGTTTTTATGAAGACATCAAAAGCCTTAAATACAAAATCGACGAAAGTTATGTTGAACCTGACATGCACGTGGAGCAAAGTTTATAGAAAACCACGAGGCACACACCAATTTTCTTTATTAGTTTTGCTGTACATTAAAACAGACATAAATATATTTGGTCATGGTCGTATAAAAACTAAAACGTGTGGCAAATATGGTGAAAAGCATGAAGAAGTTGTGGTGTTTCTTCACACACACATTTTACAGAACATAGTGAATAAAATGCCTATAATGTCCACCAACATTTTCTTTTTGCGCTTTACAGAGAGTGTTGCGAAAAACAAATGTGATGTGGTCTTCAGCAGCAGCCAGGTGAGGGTCCTGTAAATTCCGAAAAATAAGAAGCATAGTTAACCAGAACATCCTGATTTTCTGAGAACTCAGAATTTGTGAGTGCACACACAAAATGTGAGCAACATGCACAGTCAGCTTTCAACTTGAAATTTGTCACATTTTCTTCTTATTCTCAAGAAAACAGTTCACATGCATGATGCTTTAAGAAACATTGTTGAATCATTTTAGAAACTTCAAATTTTGTCAAACGTTCGACAAGTATGAGCACTAATTACAGTGAGCAAAGTATACAATGCATCTATTTCCTGCCTCAATCAGCAGGCTGCTTGTTGGTAGTGTTTATGCAAATTTTACGTTTTACTTCTTTTGAGTGCTCTATTAATATGCTTTCATAGGTATCTTGATGCTTAATACGCACTTTTATATGTAATTTGTCCAGAGCCCCACTAGCTCTATGCCTCCTGAAAGAACCCAGAGTGATATTTTTAAACAAAGGAGCGAATGAATTATTAATGCCGTGTTTATTTTTTTTACTCCAGATATCTATGACACTTCCAAGACTAATAAGAAAATGGAGACTACCCATCAGCAGCTTCCAGCGCGCCTACCTGCGAAAAATGCTTGCCTATCGGTGCCGAAATGTGTTCCCACCGCAACAAGTCGCTCATGCCAAGCTTCTGTAACAGGTCACAGCAAAAAGCAGGCGTAATGTCCTTGCATGAGACTTTGCAAGGAGCGTGGTGGATGGATGGTCAAACTTTATCGCAGCTCATTCACTTTGAGAAGACGGTAGATGTGCACATAAAGAAATTCTCAAAAATTGTACATCTTTTAAATTACAGAGCAGTGAGAGCAGCCTGGTGTTGCCAAAATGACAGTAATTTTATGACAATCGGAAAACACCATTTTCATGCTTTGAAATTAGATATGTAAATAGTATGCCTCAGACAAAAAGAAGAAAAATTGTGTATTATGAATCAAATTTAAAAACAAAAGACACTTTTCCCCAAAAACTTATACTGTACACAACTTTTGTTGCATCTGCTCCCAAAAAAACTTAGGAAAACACACAACATTTTGTTGCATTTCCACCACACACCCTGAGCATGGTATCATTACCCTGCAGTAGAAAAAAACATGTAACACAAATATCATTTCACTAAAAAACAAAAAATCGTCACTGAATATCGCCGAAATAGCCCAGAAAACACACAAATATTAAGCCCAAAATCACTTTACAACAAAATCACTTCACCAAAACATAGGCATCAAAATTCTCTAAGTACAGCTTCATGTAATGAACTACATAAAGCAGGGCTTTAGAAACAGTCTTGTTACCATGAATTCAGATCTGTGCCGAAATGCGATTCAGCTTCATGGCAACACAACATGCAATGTCATGAAAGTTCATGATAATCCATCAAAAAAAAACTCTCACTGCAGGAAAGATATGCAACCAGGCAAAATTCAAACGAGCGTCACACACTTTTAATCTTGACATTCAAATTTAATATGCAGGAAGCACATGCAAAATATGACATTTCCTGGTTCATGTGCAATTACCTAAATTGTGCTATGCCGAGTTGGATAAATCACTCACTGTACAGTAGAGATGAATAATTCTCGAACACAGGATTTCGCAGTAGCTAACGTTTCAACAAGCGGTCTGCCAATGCAGTGGTGGGCGGTCACGGTACTTGGATGCTGACCCGAAGGTCGCAGGTTTGATCCCCACTACGGCAGTCGCATTTCCATGGAGCTGAGGTGCTGGAGGCCTGACACCCCTTTAATGTGCGATGTCAGTGCATGAAAGAACACCTAATGGTCCAATTTCCGGAGGCCCCCTCTTCAAGATCCCTATAGCTTCTATCATATAATGGCTCTGGGAAGTGAAACCCCAGATATTATCGACAAGCACTCTTGTTGAATTTATTACTTTTTTTGTAACACCGCAACTGCTGACACTTTCCATTTCTTTTCAAACTTCTATCTTCCCCTGAACTTCTTCCCAATTTGTGTTTTCCTTATGCAGTTGACCCACTCGTACCAAAATTAGGCTGACCGTGTGCGTAGAGAGCGCACCTGTCCGATGATGCTGGGAGTTGTTGCACTGCCTAGTTGAGATGAGCGTTTGGGCGCGCCACTTGGCTCCGCTACCACCTCAGCTCGGGAATGACTGTCACTGAAATCACCGTCTGTGTCCTCCACGCTGTCGCATCTACAGCCCAGCAGTCTGTGAGTCGAGCTAGTGGTCTCTTCATCGAGCGTGAACAGGTCCTGCAACAATATTTATAGAAACATATAGCAGCAGAGGCAAGAGCTGATAAAACGGTTACTATGACATCACAAGCCACTTCTAGATAGGGAGCCCATCTTACCGCATCAATCGATGCAGCACTACACTCTAATCTCCATATAACAAACACGGACATAACGAAATATTGACTATAACAAAATTAATGAAAAAAATATTTCAATAAATAGCTAGAAATAACCTTTACTACAAATTTTCAAATATAACAAACTTAATTTTTTATAAGATGCAACTGCGTTATAATAAGGTATGAGTGTATGTATAGAAAAATCTTATTTGACAAAGAATATCATAGTGCAATCTTATAAAATATAGGCAGAACAAGATACAGCTGAAACTTGATCTAAAGGAGTGATGAGAACACTCAAATCAATAATTGGGAATTTCCCATATCAATAAAACAATTTTTCACTCCCTCAAAATCTTAAATAGTACCACAGCAACACCTAAAAGCTACCACGGCAGTATTTTTGCCTGCAAGTCGCATTTTTTGGCATGTAATAAGACAGTGCAGGCCGGTCCAAAGGCATCCCAGACATAGAAGATAAGCCTGCATCGTCATGTCTGGGTAATGCAGGCCAGGTACATGGTCACCTGAAGCTGTGACAAGGCACCGACATGCAACAGCACAGAGAACAATGTTTGCACCAGTCATATAGCTTCCTTATCCATTCACTTCCCGTAATGCCAAATTGGTATATGTGATGCGAGCGAAACAATCGCGAGCACACCATGATCGAGCGTGGCGTTTAGTCATGACTTAGATGACATGCATGTCAGAAGTGTCCCGTTAGGATCTGTCACTTTTCTTCGCCATGCACTCATGTCATAGCATGAATTTTCGCAATATGTCATGCGAA